GATTGGACACTGTATCCGTATATATACTGGTGCCACCCCTGGGGGGGAAGAAGAAGCCCGGAAGTAGAAGCCCAAAAGGAGCCGCGGGGAGCGGACCAAAGGAGGCTTCGGCTGGGAGCGATCCCAGGGCAGGCTGTACGGAGAAGGAAAATAAAAGAAAAGGTTGTCCACTGCCAGACTTTGTCGTGTGTCCTTCCTGCCGGCCGGGAGCGACATCGACATGAATCAGTCATGGGGAACGTATTTTCTAACTCCCAAAAGATGCCTTTACAATGCCTAATTTCCAATTTACGTACTCTTAAGATTAAAAGTACCATAAAGACTAGACAATTAACTTTTTACTGCCGGGAGGTCTGGCCAACCTACCCACTTAGCGGCGATCGTTGGCCCAGGGAAGGACCGTTTGGCCCCTGCATTCTCAGGAGTTTGTATGATTTCTGTCAGGCTGGTGACAAGTTATTAGCACTCCCTTAGATTCAGGCCTTCCTTGTTCTGAGCACACGCTGTCTCTCATTAAGTCTTGTGCTCCTGCCCAGATACTTTTAGCTAACTCTACCGTGCTGCAAACTTTTCCGTCCTGCCCTCAGGATTCGCTTGACGATGTTCCCCCGGTCTTTTCCTGGCCGCCGCCTGCCTACCCCCAAACTCGTTCCTGCTGTTACCTCCCGCTGGACCGCCCTCCCCTCCCCTCTCCCTGATTGTCTCGGCAGCTCTGGTCCCAAAGCATTGCAGTTACCTCCCGCCGTGCGATTGCCTCCCTCTCCGCCTTCCGGGACCCATACCTCTCCCAGCAGCTCTACTCTGCCCTCTGCAGCATTCTCGCCACCCACCATACCCGATCTCGGTCGTTGTGCCCTTCTGGCAAGCCACGTGATTGTCCCAGCTTGCACTGGGAACAGTCGCCATGCTGCAACCCTCCACCACGTGACAGGGCGCCGCCATCTTGGGACGGACCTCACGGTCAACGGGCGCCCCCTTGTGGCTCCTCTTGTGAACAGCAACAGCCGCCCTGTTGCAGTGCACATGATGCTTCACTGTGCTGGGGACAGCAGTCCTCTAGCTGCACGGCACACAGTGAGACGCCATCTGCCTGTGTTTCCCAGGGTGACCGGCAGCAGCTCTGTAGGCCCTCTACAGATGATTGCTCACACGCGCCTACTGGACGGCTGGCTGCCCAAAGGCCCTCTGCTCCGGCATCTTCTCCTCAGGCTCTGCTACCACTTTGGGAGCAAGCTGGCCCTGAGGGACGTGTCAACATCCATGTGCCTTTTTCCCTTTCTGATCTATCCCAGATTGCCCATAAATTAGGTAGCTTCTCTGTTGCCCCACAGAATTATATCAGGCAATTTGAATTCATTACTAATTGTTATGATTTATATTTTAAGGATGTTTATGTGATACCACTCTCAGCTCACAAGAGCGAAATCAGCTGTGGCAGGCAGCTTGAGAAGAAGCTGACCGCAGGCGTAAGGCAAACACCGCTGACAACGACCCTGGGCCAGAGCAGGATCCTAACTGGAACTATCAAAATGGACAAGGTTCAACAAAATTACATAAGATGATTGAGTGTCTGATTGTGGGCCTTAATAAGATTGCTCACAAACTATAACAAACTATAACAAACTTTTACAACAGGTCCAGGAGGCTAATAAAAACCCAGCTGTGTTCCTAAATTGACTTTCTAATCCTTGCACCCTGCGAGCACGTCCAGCTTAGCACGCTGCATCGGGCCACCTCCCAGCCCCTCCACATGCGCCATCCCAGCCCACCCCTGCACGCTACATCCCGATGCTCACCCCACCCCACGCTGGGCGTGCTCTGCTGGCATGCCACAAAACAGCAGCTCAGTGGCTCGGCCCGGGCATGCTTTTTTTTTTTTACAGTTCGGTTCTGCTCAAAAGATGCTATTTTTGGGGCTGGGGATTTAGCTCAGCGGCATAAGCGCCTGCCTTGCAAGCAGGCAGTCATGAATTTGATTCCTGGTACCGATAAAAAGGAAAAAGACCAAAAAAAAAAGATGCTATTTTTTTATTACAATTCTCAAACCATTTAATCAAGGTTATTGGCCACCTGATAATTTTACTAGCCTTGTTTATCATTCAAAGCCTTCAGCAATCTCCTGTTTAACAACTAAGGTTATAAATTCCTTTTTGCTGGAAACCACTAGCTCTGTTCTGAGACAAGGGTTTTGTTAAAAGTTTTAATATTGTCTAAAACAAAAATTTTATTTGTCTTGGTTCATACTACTGCAAATAACAGGTTTTAAAAAAAGTAAATGTGTTCAAAATTTGACAGTATTAGATCAGTTTTGATAGATTTATTCATAAGACTGGTAAACCTTTACTGCAAAATGTTTCCAACAAAATGAGATTATACACCAAAAGGGGGAGGGCAGACTAAAGCCTTTTTTGTTAAATATGTAATTCCACGCAACACCCTAAAAGCGATATGCCATCCAGATAAAGCCTGCTCTCTGATCTAAAATGCCAATATTAAACTCCTGCATACTTACTTAATTCTACCGTAGTCCAAATCCCAAACAAACAGGCAAAACTTCACCTTCAAACCTTAGAGAGATCTTAATATGCTTTTTCATATTTTTAACACTTGTGACACTTGGAGCTCTGAGACAGGTGAATCTACATGAGGTGCAGCTGCCTGCCCCCCCATGGACCACGCTCAAATGCAGCAGAAGACACTGGGCAACAAAATGCCCCATCCTGGCATTCTTTGAGACCTTACTCCAGGGCTGCTGGACTGTCCTAGCCACCAGAGAGTGGGTAAGCCATCCTAACTTCTAGCCCTCACAGGAAATGTTGACACTGCCAGATTCATCGCTGACAAAAATTGCTGCTGAAGACTGAGGGGGGTTCAGGGCCAGCAGCCCCCTTTAAGGTGTCCGTCTCAGAGTCCAAGTCGCACTCAAGTCTCAGGTAAGACAATTTTCTGTATTTGTGGACATAGAGGCCATATACACAGAGTTCTTCCTGAGATTTCAGGCTGCTATATTAAGTCCTTGATGAGGTATTGATGGTCAACCTATGCCATTTACAAACAGGGCCTAATTCATGCAGGTCCTAAATCTTAAAATGCCTTTTATGCAGGCTGACTTAGACACACTGAGGCCTCAACAGCTTCACTAGTAAACCTCTCCTCAGTGATGTAAGACCAGCCCCTTCCCTTCCTATTTACCAATTTCTCAGGCAACCCTGGTCAAGGCTGATAAATACATTTTGTCTTCTCCCTTTGTTTATACTTTTTCAGGATACGTAAAAGCCTTTCACACAACCAGGGAGACTGCTGATATATTTGCTAAAGCTCCATTACAACAAATCATTCCAGGACAGCGGTCAAAGTTGCTGGACTCGCATCCTGGTTTCACATCCCTCAGGCTAAGAGGTGCCCTCCCAGCCCCAAATCTGATCATTCTGAGTGGTCACCTCATCTTCCTCGCCCACCCGTCTCCATCTTATGAAGGCCTCACAGCCACAGTTAATAGACTAAGTCATGTTTTGTTATCCACTTTGGTTCCTAATTTCTTATGTTCTATTAATTGTCATGTTTACAACAGGACTCTTGACAGTCTTTCCTAAAGACTCCCACATCATGTGTAAGATAATCTTCATAATGTTCTATGTGATGACTGTCGTGGTTCTTTCTACCCTCAGCTGTCTGGTTAAACGTGACATCCCTGCAAGCCTAAGCCCTGACCTTCCCTATACTGGTACAGCCACCGCCTTCCCTATTCCCCCTATTTTTTCTAGTTAAACTCCTGGACTGGAGACAAGTTTTACACACCTACCGTGTTAACTTTTATGCTTGCAGATGGGGGAGTAATCACCTCTCAAAACATCACTCCTCCTAACCTCACACTTATTTTTCAGAATTGTACGTCACCTTGACAGTGATCCTACCTCAACGTCATCCTGATATAATGACATGTCTAAATCAAAGACACCTTTCCCTCTACCTCACCTGGGTCCTTAAATATGACAGTGCCATGTCTCCTCATAACATCATGTCTCTTTTTTTTCCAGTCTAACATACGTGCATTCACCAGTGAAGTTGTCCTGGCTAAAACACCTGGCACCAGCGTCTACCTGGGCATCAACCTTCATCCCATCGACTCCCCTAGACCCCAGTACAGCGCCCCCTGCCAGCAGGAAGTGGTTAAAGAGAGAAATCTTCACCCCTTTTCATAATAATCATAAGACGGGATTTGAAAGGGTTTTGGCCCAGACAGGACACTGTAGCCAGGAAAGCCTCACCCAGAAGCAGGAAGCCCCATCTCCCCTGCCCCTAGGAAGTTACCTGTGGCGCCATCTTCCCGCCCCTGGGAACTTACCTGTGGCGCCAAACCAGGACCAATGGGCTCCCCGTGCATCCCTGATGCCCCCTTAGGTTCCACCCCACACTGAGGCTACTTGCATACCCCCCCACCACGTGTCCACTGGAGAGATTGCTGGACTCCAGTGGTCAGGGGTGCCGGTCATCTCTCTCCATGTTCTCAGAATAAAGGCCGCTTTTGTTTTATACTTCTCATCTTTAGGACATAATCCTATCACTGTGGATTCTGAGTAATGTGTATTTCTCATTATTGGAGGGAAATATGATAGACAAGGAAAAGAGGCTAAATCAAATCTCGGTGTTGGATTGGAATCAAACGTGTGGTGTGAACTCGTGAGTCTTGGCGTAAAAATTGAGCATCACAGAAATTGAATGTAAGATCAGCAAGAGGTAAAGAGATACGCAAGTTTTAAAAACACGAGAGCTGAACTTTGGGAGCTCAGGGGAGTGACTCAGGCCGCGAGGCGCACACACAGGGGCAGTTACTGACGCTGTGACGGTGTCTCTCAGGAAAAGACCGCCAAGCACGGCCGGGTGAGGGGTGAGGTGGAGGCGGGGTCCCTTCCTTTTCCTCCGGCTCGTATTCCTGGAGCCGTGACAAACTCTGCTCCCTTTCCCTTATCATGGTGCCAAGAGTGTTGAGAAATTCTTACCGTAACATTCTGGATAATTGAATTCAAGGTATTTAGCTACCCAGGAGATGATATGAAGGCCCAGACAGCTGCAGACGTAGCTACCAATTTTATTCCTACAGTAGGAGATGTCCTTGCACTGTGCCTGCCCGGTCTTACACTCATCGATATCTGAGAATCAAGACAAAATATTGTTTTTTATTCTCACAGAAATGCACCGTTTCCCCCTTGACCGGGGAATCTCTCCTGTCCAGCATCATTTATACGTCTAGTAAACAATGTCTCCTGTTCTTTGATAGGATGTCATCATTATAAATACAACGATTCGGGGCTGGGGATTTAGCTCAGCGGCATAAGCGCCTGCCTTGCAAGCAGGCAGTCGTGAGTTCGATCCCCGGTACTGATAAAAAGGAAAAAGACAAAAAAAAATACGATTCTTGCTTATACATCCAATGCAATGCCATTTAAAAATCTGCCAGTAATTTAGAGGCTGGGAAAGAGGCATTAGCAGGATCCCTGGAGGAAGACACGGGGGAGTTTTAATTGCTGAATCATGTACCGGGTTAAATCGAATTCAAGGGAACAGAGTCAGTCAGTGAACACGCTGTCAGACAAGAGTGTGGGTGAGGCCAGAGCACCGTGCTATTAAATCCCCCTTGTCCTGGCCTCGTGACCTCTCTGCACTCTCCGTCTGAGAGGCTAACGCCTGCCCCTTGTGGTCCAGGCTTATGATAAGTTATGAGCTTTATCTGGACTGTGGGGGACGCTGGCGGGGACGTGGGGGCCAGCGTATTTGTCACCGTAAGTGATGGAGGTGAGACCTCATAACCCGTTTACCTTCACACTGGTCCTTGGTCTCAGTGAAGTATTTCCTCCCCGAATGGGACTGGAAGCCCTCCATGCAAACACAGTGGGTGCTGTTGTGGCAGAGGGCATCTGAAGGGCACGGTGGACAGGGAGCTGCGGGGAACGAAGAATCCACCCATTCACTGACTCATGCATTCGAGAAACAGTCACGAAGCATCTGCCTTGTGGCCAGAAGACTGTCCTCTGGGCATCTGTTTTCCTTCCCCTGTGCCCACCCCACTGCTGAACAGTGGTGTTTGCACTGGCAGCGTAACCGTGCCTGGCCAGCCGTGGCCACCAAGAGCCACTCTGTAAATACACCCAGCTTCACTGTGATTTAGAAACAACCAGGGTCTTTGGGGAGGTGGAGGAGTGGGAACATAGCGCCCAGGGAGGAATGTAAAATGGTGCGGTCACCGTGGAATGGTATCACCTTTCTCCCAAAAGATTAAAGATCGGAATTCCTGTAGGACTGAGCAATTCAACTTCTGGATATGTAGCCAGAAATAACCGGAGGCGAGCTAGGGAAGAGGCTTTTATATCCATGTGCATGGCACCAATATTCAGAATAGCCAAAAGGAAGAAGTGTTCATTGACTGACAAATGGATAGCCAAAAGTAATCCATTCGGAAATGGAATATCATTCAGTCTCTTTGGTATTGGAATTGAGCCCAGGGTCTTTACACTAAGCTGCATCCTAATTCCTTTATTTATTTATTTTTTTTAAATTTTGAGACAGAGTCTTGTTAAGTCACTAAAGTTGCCCGTACCAGGCTCAAACTTGGAATCCTCCAGCCTCAGCCTCCCACAGTGCTTGGATGATGTGCGTGCACCATCATAATGATTCAGCCTCTAATGGGAATGGAATCCCAGCTCATGCAAAAAGCAGACATGATGACTGGGGAAAGAAACTAGTTATAAAGGGACAAATTCTGTATGATTCCACTCAGAGAAGGTCCCTAGAGAACTTGCAGGCACAGGACAGGAAGGAGAAATGGTTTGGGATAGGAAAAAGGAATACTGAGTGGATAGAAAAATTCATTTTGGGGAGAAAATTTTGGATATTACTGATAATGATGGATGTGAGCGTCACTGAGCCGCACACTTGACAATGGTTAAAGCTAAACCGTATACAAGTCGTACCTGTAAATCTCCTCTCTGCCCACCGTGGGGAGCCCCTCCGAGGCTCTGCTCCCTCTGGGTGAGGGACTCTGTATTTCTTTCTGCATTTCCTGCGTCACTTTCCCGGCTGGTACTTTCTGAGACCACTTATGAGATAAATGGCCCACGTTCAGGTTCTGCTTCCGGGATCCCAAACCCAAGTGTGAAGCAGGGCCGACGGAGAGGAACGGAGTCCCGGGAGTGTGACCCTCCGAGCTGTCTCTGGCCCCCAGCCCATGTCTCTGGGGGCTGCTGCTTCCTGATCTCAAGCTGCCAGGAGCAGAGCAGCCTTCTGCCACCTCGGCCCTCGGCCCTGATGTTTTTTCCTTGCAGTCAGCTGACAGCGGACTCAAACCTCAGAAACGGTGAGTCCAGACAAATCCTTTCTCACTAAGCCTGTCCCAGAGGACCCGAGAGGAAGCCAAGCAGCCAGCCTTTCTGGTAAGCCGTGCAAGGCCCGCGGCTTCCAGGAAGAGAAAAGTTGGAGTTGTTTTGAGCCTGCCGGCAGGCGGGCTGAGAACCTCGCCTCCCTCCATAAGCTGAGTCCTAGCCACCGAGGCACTAAAGCCACAAATGCTTGTGCTGTCGGGTTGATTACGCTGACCTGGGGCCGGAGGTCTGAGCATCTCTGGGGAGGATGACTGTATGCAACAGCAAACATGGGCATTTCCTTCTATCTCTGAAACTCAATATTGCTTTCGCCATTTTGCTTTGTTCTGATTGTTTTGCTTTAGTCAATATCCTGTGTTGATTAGTTTTATTGTGTTTTGTTTTGGGTTTGATTTTGCTGTACTTTACGGAATGGACAACTATTGTGAAGATAACAAGACACGCTATGGTGGCCAATGTTGTTTTCCTAGGATCCTGCATTGAGGTTTTGTACTAATTTTGCTGCTTTGTTTTGCTGGGCTTTGCTTTTTTTGTCCAAGAATGGAAAGCTGACTAGTGTAAATTCGGTGACTGTGGCGGTGCGGGTGGAGGAACAGCCTGCAGACGGACGCGGGTCTCGGGTCTGTCGCACTTTGAACGGGCTCCTCTGCCTCCCGGAAGGAATATCCCAAACCCCAGCTTGCTTCCCCTTGGCCTTGGCCGTGGGTACACTCACCTGCAGAACTTTGTGCTTCGGATCCTGTCACGGCCAGCAAGACGCCGAGAGCTGGAACAGAAGGAGGGGGCAGTGAGGCTGGAGGCTGCCGCGGGCCCTGCCTGCGCACGGCTGAGGCTCCCGGCTAGGGGTGCAGGCTGGCTCTCACGGAGACCCCTCCAGGCGGGCCGTAAAGACAAGCCCAACTGAGGCATCACAAACTTCTGAAGCTCAGCTGGTGACTCTGACTGTCTTTGTGTGTTTCAATTTGTCAGAACTCAGCAGCTGACTCAGCAGTTTACTCCAGAAGGTAACACTCGGTGACCAACTTTCCTGTCTCTCGTCCATACTCCATCCGTCCAGATCTTCAATCCAACAGAAACATAAAGTGAACAGCCTGGAGCCTTTCAAACAGTTTTAGTAATCGTGTTTTGGAAAAGAGGATCCAGTGAATTTAATTTCAGTGATATATGTTATGTAGTCTAATGCAGTAAAGATGTGTGTGGCAGTTCTTAAGCTTATGTTATTAACAAATATTCATTTAAAATGGTTTATAAGTTATTCACGTTTTTTATTGTGCATGGCGTCTTTGTATTTTGAACATGTGCCACATTTTCAGCCAGCTTGTCACGTTTTTAATGCCTTTGTTCTTTGGCACCAGGAATCAAACTCAGGACTCACACTTTCCACGCAGGTGCTGGTGCTGCTGAGCTAAATCCTCTGCCATTTTTAGTGCTTTTAGCCGCATAGGACCTGCTGCCATGGTCCTGGACAGGGGAGAAAGCTGAGATCTGAGATCTGCAGACTTTCCCAGCTCAAGGCTGACGGGCTTGGAATGGCCAGCCACCTGCTAAAGGGACTTCTGGCTCTTTCCTGGTACCTGGCCACATGAGGGTCCATTGCTAAAGTATTTTTCTTTCAGGACCAGCACTGGCTCTAAAATGCTAGAATTTATGGCAAATGAAAGCTCCATAATTTTGAACTGTGTTATGTCTACAATCCATTTAGATTCTCAAAGAATATGACAGGGGCAGGGAATAGAGTTCAGGGACAGAGCATTTGCCTGCCAGGAGGCCCTGGGTTCAACCCCAACCCTGCAAAGAAAGGTCACTGGGACCACAGGAGATGAACCTCTCTCCTCCTAAACCCTCCATGAGGTTCGTACAATGAAGTACTACTCTGCCCTAAAGAAGGATAAACTTGAGACATTTATAGCTAAATGGATGCATCTTGACATCATTATCTTAAGTGAAATAAATTAGATGCACAAGTCGAAATGTGACATCATCTCTGTTGTGTGGGAAACCCAAAGTATAAATCGGGAGCAAAGTGGAGGGTAGAGATTAGGAAGCAGGAATAATTTGTTCAAGTGGGAAAGGAAACGAGACGGGGGGGGGTGTAAAAGAAAAGAGATGTAAAGAAAAAATAGAGATGAAAGACAAATGGAAACAGAGCCTTCATAAATGGTGAGGAGAGTTGAGTAGATCAGAGAGGAAGGGGACAAACAAAAGAATTTGGGTGTGTGTTACATACGTGTAAAAATCCTGCACGATGGCTCTGACCACTGTGCACGGCAAACATGTGCTAATAAACAGTGAATTAAAAAATCACATTGAAAACACTATATTTCAGAATTCAAACAGAATGCTGGTAAATCATATGATTTTGTCATTTTTCTAAGGCAAAAGACACCACGCATAATCATTTTTATGAAAAGATATGTTATTCTCAGGGCAGGGATAGGCGAACTGTGGTCTTGTGATTTGCACGGTCTGCGGGCTAAGGAGATCAGCATTTCATGACGCGGTAAGACTGTAAGACACTTCCTATGACTGTCTAACAATAAAGTTTTACTGGCACACACACGTACCCTTACTTTTGTATAATGTCTAGGGGGGGATCCGGGGTGCTGGGGAGCAAAGGCAGAAGTCATGTGGCCTGCGCAGCTAAAAATATTAACGAGTTTTCTGGCTCCGGAAAAGTTTCCCATCCCTGACACAGTGGGGAGCATCACCTCCTCGTGAGACCCCGGACATCTCCCAGCCTTAAACTCTGTTTCTTTCTGCATGACTTTTTATGCCTTCTAAGAGCGAAAGCCTGGAGCAGGTTGCAACATTCTGGGTTACAGCATCTCGACCCTGAGTGTCCCCCACCATTCTGTATAATTTGGAGGGAAGAGGCCTTCCATAATTCAGCTGTGATGGCCCAGGACAAGGTTGCCTCTGATTCGCACTGAGTCTAAGTAATCTGTCTAAGTAACCTTGAGCCACCTGAGGTGACTCAAAGATACTTTTAAGTATGCTCACCCTATAAAGGCCCCCTCCCAGTGTTCCTGGAATATCTCTATATTATGATAAATAATTTCTTAGTGTCAACAAATCTGTTCCAGACTAGCCTGCATATATGACTCAGTGCTTGTAACCAATTATGTAATGTTTTGTGTCTTGCTCTGTACCTGGGACTGCTAAGTGTTACACTAACTAAACTGTTTGTAACTGCTAAGTGTTACACTAACTAAATTGTTTGTAACTGCTGTTACGCTAACTAAATTGTAACTGCTAAGTGTTACACTAAATTGTAACTGCTAAGTGTTACACTGACTAAACTGTAACTGCTAAGTGTTACACTAAATTGTTTGTAACTGCTAAGTGTTACACTAACTAAATTGTTTGTAACTGCTGAGTGTTACACTAACTAAATTGTAACTGCTAAGTGTTACATTAAATTGTAACTGCTGTTACACTAAATTGTTTGTAACTGCTAAGTGTTACACTGACTAAACTGTAACTGCTAAGTGTTACACTAAATTGTTTGTAACTGCTAAGTGTTACACTAACTAAATTGTTTGTAACTGCTGAGTGTTACACTAACTAAATTGTAACTGCTAAGTGTTACACTAACTAAATTGTTTGTAACTGCTAAGTGTTACACTCACTAAATTGTTTGTAACTGCTAAGTGTTACACTAACTAAACTGTTTGTAACTGCTAAGTGTTACACTAACTAAACTGTTTGTAAATTCAGCCCGTTGCCTTTGGGGTTGATCTCTGGCAGAGGGGTTAAACATTGCCTTTTTATATCCTTGGTGCAAAGAGGTTTCCTTTTGGTTGACTTGGGAATTTCCCACAAGGAAAGGCCATCTGGAGGCTTACTGTCCTAGCTACTGGAAGCAGGATACCTGTGTGACTGTAACATTTTGTGTCCCTGGCTGCAGTTCCCGAAGGTGCAGCTGTCAGGTTCCGTGCTCACTCCTGGAGGCCGGGTGACGGCGGCTGCTGAAGACTTTTCTCTCATTGCGGTTTTAATTTGCTTTTCTTCAAATGATTTAAGATCTCAAACACTTTCTCATGAGCTCTTTTGCGTTCTCTATATATTTCTCTGTGAACTATTTTTCATATGTTTTGCCCTTTGCAAATTGGTTTTTAACTGAGTTTCTGGAGGTCTTTATATACTTCTGACCTTAATCTTTAGTATGCAAATATCTTCCAGCTGGAGCTTACCCTTCTTTCTCCCTCTTAACTGTGTCTTTTGTAGTAAAAAAGTTTTTATCTATTGTGTTTTAAAATCTAATTTTCAAATTTCCATTTGTAAATTATATCTTAGTTTCATATTGCTCTCTCTATATAGAGATCCTATATATCTCTTATTTTTTTCTAAAGTTTTGCATGGAAGCCAGTAATTCATCTTATTTTTTTCTTTGTTTAAAATATGAGATTTTGTTTTGCTTTTGGTCACTGTAAATTTCCAGTCGCTCCAGGATCATCTTTTAATGGTGTTACCTTTCAGCCTACCTGGAGAACTAACTCCTTTCTAAGACACTCAATGTGAGTTTCCAGTCATGCAGAATGCTGGGGGAGGAGACAAATTTGGGGGCAGGAAACAAAGCTGGGATGGAAGCGTGTGGGGAAAAGAGAGCATTTGTGTTGTACTCACCCAGGAGCGGGGACAGACACCCCATTCTCACTGTGCTAACACACCAGGAGGAGCGATCTGAGATCTCTCTTGACAAACGTTCCTGAAAGGAATAAATTAGTGCTGTGTGAACAAACTCGGAAAGTTCAGAAGCCAGGTCGTCAATCAACATAAAAAGGATTCTAATTTCTTCTTCTCTTTTGATCTAGTGATTCTGTTTTTAGGATACTATCTCCCAAAAAATACTACCAGTGCTATCCTAGCAGAGTTGGGTGTAAGAAACAGGTTTACTGTCCCCAAATGGTGAAGAACACACCTGCGCTCAGGGGAACATTCTGCTGGGATTTGAACCCTGCTCTGCTGCAGTTAGCAAAGTCCAGACTATAAGAAAAATGCAAAAACTACCGAGATTCTTTTGCTTCACATAGTTACCGTTTGTTTTTGAGTTTCACAGAAGCGCTTGACATCCCCGTCAACGACCCTCTCAGAGACGACAGAAGACACGGTGTGAGCTTTTCTCCTGATGGATATCTTTGAAAAATTTAAAAGCACCCCTCTCTCTTACTCTTTAATTGATTTATATTTTGGGTTCTCCTGAAAGAAAACCGTAAGACACGGACCTTTCTTTTTATGACTTCTTTCCCTTATGGCAGAATGTTAATGAACAACTGAGATAAAATTTCTAGTGTTCATCAGCAAGATGAATGTGCTTTGCAAATGGCCTAAACCACGTGAGTGGCAGTGCCAGCTGTGGGCACCAGCTGGAGAAGTACCTGAATAATTCAAGGGAAATAGCTTCATAGTAAATGGAAAGACCGCACTCCAATGGGCAAACAACTCGGTATCTGCAAATAAAAGCCACGAGTAGGAACCCATTAAAATGACCCTGGCTAGCTTTCAGGACGCAGCACGGGGGTGCGGGGGAAACAGAACACAATGTCGGTGATTACAGGAAAGAGAGGCTGACGCGCAGGGTTATTTTAAATTCCTTTTTATTTCATTGTAATTATAAACCTTGTCCATAGATTTAACAAGATCAAAATAATAGGAACAGCAGTGTTTTGATAGACACAAAAACAATTTTAAAAATGACGTTTTTAGACATTACCTTCTGCTCTAACGTGCACATCTGGGATCTGTGAGGGCCTCTTCTGTTTGTAGGGCACAGCTGGCTCCTTAAAGTGTTATTTTGTTAGGACACGTTTGCAGTGTATGAGGTTTACTGGGGGTGATTCACGGGTGCACGTGTGCAACACATCTGGATCCTTTCTATCCTCCTCTCTCTCCTCCCCATCCTCCTCCCTCCCCTCAGATCCCCTTCTCCATTTTCATTATTATTACTAGCATTACTGTTCTTAGTTTGTGTTTACAACATAAACGTGGGCTCTAATTCGATACAGCAGTGTGGGTGTCTGGACACACCTTTAACCTCCTTCCCTCTGAGTCTCTGGGACTCTTTCCCGTTTGCACAGGGCCGGGCTCCTTGTTTCTGCCCAGCAGTCCCTTACCTGCCCCCGTGTGTACGCAGCGGTCCTCAAGGCATCACCCCCAGTTTGTGCTCTTGGCGATGAACAGGCATCACAGGTCGGCGTACCGGCAAAGCTCAGCTGAATCGCCAGGTTTTCAGCGGCCAGCCGGCGAGTCCCGAGGTATGATCTTGTCTTTGGCTTTGTTTTCTGATTTGCACCCTTGGACCTCAGGGAAGCACCTACTGCACATCCTGGTTGTGAGTCAGTAAAAGGAGCTTCTGTACACGTGGGAAGTGTTTTGGGGAGCAAGCGGGGTTAAAGCCAACAGGAGCACCCAGGAGCCCTGCCAAGCTGCCAGGCGGCTGCCGCTGGGGGTCTGTTATGCTCTCATCACTACAGTGTACGTGCTCGAAAAACTCCAAGATAAAAACGAGTGAAAGATAAAACACGACAGATAAATATGGTGGTGGTTACGGTGAGCATAATGGGCGTAAGGCTCTCACCCCCACTTTTTGAGACAAGGTCTCTCTATGCAGTCAGGCTGGCCTGGAGCTCACTTTGTAGCCCAGGCTGGTCTCGAACTCACGACGATCCTCCTGCCTCAGCCTCCCGAGTGCTGGGATGACAGGCCTGAGCCACCATGCCCGGTTACACCCCCTCTTTGATTCTAGTTGCAGCAAAGACTCTTTTGTTAAGGACTGACCCCTTAGTCACTCATAAAGAGGAGACTTGACATCGTCACAAGAATAAACTCACAGTCTGAGGAAGTCTAGCCTTGGGATCCCTTATTTTGTGGCTTTCAATAACACAGCTGTGTCTTTTCTTATGTGTTAGAATCTCACTAAATCAAAGTTTTCTAAAGATATTTCTGTGATTCCTTCCTTAACCACTTCTCAAAATAACTTATAGACTAGTCCAGGCATGGTCACGCTTGCTTGGAATCCCAGTTCTGGGAGCCTGACGCAGAAGGGTTGTCATGTGTTTGAGGCTGGTTTGGGCTACATGGTGAGTTCAAGGCCATCCTGAACTACATAGCAAAATTCTGTCTCAAAACCAAAAACAAAAACAACCAGAGGCCAGGGATATAGCTCAGCAGCACAGTGCCTGCCTGGCAAATGTGAGGTCCGTCCTGAGTGTGATTCCCTATTGGGGAGCTGGCCAAGATCCCCAACTGCCTTATGTGGGGTATGGCGAAGGATAAAATAAGACACAGAAGAGCTAAGGATTTAGCTCAGTGGCATAAGCACCTGCTTTGCAAGTGTGAGGTCGTGAGTTTGATCCCCGTTACCAAAAAAAAAAAAAGAAAGAAAAAAGAAACAGAGACAAATTTATGATGCATGATGCGGGGCTTGGAGGTCAGTGCCTCAGACGGGTAGAGACCCAGATCCTCCAAACCAGCCACCATTTATTGGGTGTGTTCAATGCAATGGACGCAGTCGGCGACAGGAGGGGCCGGCGGAGGGTTCCAGGTTGGCCAAAGGCTCCGAGGCGGGTGACACTGCAGGCAGTGAGCGATCCTGGGGGGACTCCGAGGGTGGAAATGGCCTTGTGCTGAGGACGATCTTATTTTGGCGTGTTCTTTTCTATCTTGGGACTCTCAGTTTAGCCGTAGTGGGTGGGAGAGCATGGCCCATCCCCATAGTTAACGGGAAGTCTCAAAGGGTGCCACAATATTCAGAAACCTCCACTTATCCCTTAAGGAAGTGTGCAAAATTAGCCAGCGTGAATTGGTGAGAAGGGGGGAGCTGGGACCACACGGACTCTGCTCTAGTGACTGACGCGGCCCAGCGGTGCGAGCAGGCCAGCGCCTTGGCCTGTGGTGGGACAGGGACACCCCTGCCACGTACCAGCGGGGAAAAAGAGCTTCAGGTGTGAGACCCAGGAGCTTGTGCGGGATCTGGGGGCAGCCCTGGGCCCTTCCACCAGGGATGCCACAGCAGCTGGGGAGCTCTGCAGAGCCGCACGGAGGAGACGTGGACGGGTGAGAGGTGGGCGCAGGAGGCCAGCCCAGCCCACATCCAGAGGCCAAGGCCGGCCGGTGCCCAGCACAAACCCTGCTGCAAGCTTGGAGGGGGCAGCACACTCCTGGAACCCGGCTTGGACGCTGCCACAGAGCTGTGACCACCACGAGAACTGTGAAAAACGGGTTTTACTGTTTTTCTTTTTCTTTGTTTGAGTGGTTTTCCTTTTTTTTAAGTCTGGTTGGAATTTTTTGTTGTTTTTTAGATTTTTTTGTCTGTTTAGGTTCTTAGCTTGATTTTGGTTCTGTTCTATGTGTCTCGTTTCTCTCTTCCTCAATTCTCTCTCCTGATTTTATGACACGTTCATGTGAGTGGACACAGTCTCCTCTCTTTCTGGTTTGCTTCACAATTCTTTTGCTTTTTCTCCCCTTCTTTCTCCTGTGCCCTCCTGCAGTTTCCTAAAACTTGAGCGACCATCCTTTGCTTTACGGCCTTTCTTCTGTTTTGTTCCTGATCTCTCTTAAATATCTTGCAAGCAGGATACAATTAATCTACCAAGGCGAAACTTGTATGCAAGTTCCCAATATATGTTGGATTTTGTTATATAACTGCAGAGATTGCTTCTAGAGCTTCAGGAAGCAAATTAATAGCTACGGCAGTTTGTAAGTTCTAGGCTGTGCTCGAGGCTATTGTGATTGCTAATCTGACTCCTTTAGTACGCCTGCTGCGATCAGCTTTTCTCTCACATATGACAACACTGTGACTGTCTGGGGCCATAACTGTCACCACAGTCCGGTACCAAAGGATGGGTGCTGAGCCTAATAACAACTTCTCACTCTTCGTACAGCGGGAGGAAAGGTTCTTGGGAGACACGCAAAGACCAAGAACCACCTACTTCTACACGTGACCTTAGCCAAAAGGCCACGAAGCGGCTCCACCTACATCAGAAGACATGTCTGAAGAATGGAGATGTTCGTGATAAAGCTACAGTCCGAAGAAGTCTACAAGCACCAACACAGAAAATCAAAATAAAAAATACAAGATGCAGAAGCACAGTGCAAGCCCAGAGCCCCAGCCCACCTGGACAGCTGCAGAGCATGAGGAGAGAGAGCAAATCGGAAATCACACTCTGGAACTTTCTGAAATGACAGTAGCATAAATTTAAAAAAAATGGAGGTGACTATAGAAAAATACTCTCTCAGGTAAGAAAATTGGTCGAAAGGAAGACGTGCTCAACAACCCAGAATAAACATAGGTTAAAAAAACCAGGTGCTTAGGAAAATGTTGGAAACCATGAATGTCCAAGACAGGGAGAAATGGAGGCTACAAAACAGATCCAAGTAGATACCCGGGGGGTGAAAATCCCACTGAAAATAGATGCAACCAACTCAATGAAGGCAAGAACAGAACATCAGGTGTAGGAGACAGACATGCAGTTAGCAACCACAGAAAGGAACATGTCCTGAGATAACAGTCAGCATGAAAACCAGCCAGCAGCTGCAAGGTGATACAGAGGAGGACAACATAAGACCGTTCAGAGTCGACGGGAAAGCCGGACAGCACACAGACACCGTGAGCAGCTCTTCACAGAGCCAAAGGCAGAAAATGCCCCAAACAGGGATGCAGAATTCATCGTGCAAAAAGTGAGGTCTAGAGAGCCCCAGGGAATGGTGATC